TTTTTTTTATTTTTTTTTATATGAGCCACTTTTTTCAAATGAGAGCCGTTAGGATGATTATTACCTAGGTTTAACCTCGGGGGTTATCCCTGAGTCGCCTAGGCTGGTTTTCCGTGCTCATTGACCCGATCTATCTAGAAGATTAACCGAGCTAAGAGGAGCCTAATCCCTTCGACTCCCACGAACTCATTTTCGTGAGCATCTTTTTCCAAACGAGGTTTCCGAACGAGATTATCTAGGTTTAACCTCGAGGGGTTTTCCCGAGTTTCCTATACCGGTTTCCCGGGCTCATTATCCCAATCCATGAAGTGGCTCGGAATAAGAGGAACCTAATCCGTACTTCCTCGCGAACTCACATTTTATTCCCTTTTTTTTTAGGGAGAGGCACACAAGGATACATCACAATTACAATAACATAATCATCTCAACTCAATCGAAATGTACCACAAGTGTATAGATAACACGTTGACAACGATAATCGAACATAAGGAAGGCATGCCTCAAGACAACCAATCGAGAACAAACAATGGACAAAACAATTCCGTGAATCCACATGCGGGTTCCAATGTCAACGAATCATCAATCAATTTAAGGAAACCGTCAAATTCATCAAGTACATCAAGCATGAACGCTAATAGTGAAACCAATCAATAATCTCGACTCACCACTTAGCTATCTCGACTCTCGAACAAACATCAAGTTTCATGCGGGAGAGACGACACAAACACACAAAGAACTCAAACAAACCCGGTCCAAGACACGACAAAAACGAAAAAACAAAGCACCAAAAACGAAGAGAATATCACCTGAACATGCATAATCACGAAAATCCCTCCCCCACACTTAAAACAAAGCAATGTCCTTATTGCTTGACCAAAAAGCATCGGAGAAAGCACATAATCATGTAAGTTCATGCAATAAAAACGAAAAACGAGACACAAAGATCAAAGAACGAGAAGAAACAACACGAAGACACAAGAAAAGCAAAGAAAGAAAGAGAAAATAAGAAAAGAAAATGCGTACTCTTCACCGTGGTCGTCACCACGGTGTGTCCAATTATGGTCGTCCGGAGGGAATAGAGGAGATCAACCGAAGCCGTCGAGCTCGAAATGAAGCCATCTGAATGGTTTAACATTAAGCACATGAAACGAGAGAGGCCATGCGTGTGTGTCTCGGAGAGATGGTAACCATGCATGCATAAACTCGACGTAGACACACGTACACGTGAAAGCGCAAAAATCGGGCCTCAAAGTCCTCGTCGATGCTCGCCATGGGATGACACAACTAACTCCGTTTGTATGCAACGCACAATCGATTACCGGCGCTTGCCGTAAGTAGGTACCTACAAACTCAAAATCCCGGCAAAAACACAAACATGTGGCACGCCCGGCAAGTCGTGCCTAAAATACACAAGTCTAACCCAAATATCTCAATACGGCTACTCCGACAAG